TCTCTCTCTCTCTCTCTCTCTCTCTCTCTCTCTCTCTCTCTCTCTCTCTCTTCCTCTTCCTCTTCCTCTTCCTTTTCTCAGACTCAACACACACAACCGCGCATAAAGCTTGAGTGTCTTATAAACTGGAAATTTGCTTTTGTTGTGCCTTTAATTGTTTTTTGGTAACATCCACAAATGCGTTTTTTAAAGGATATAAAAGGTGCTGAGCCAAAAAAATCAGAAAAATCAGAAAAATGCCGGTTTCTTTGATTTCACTGCTTTGGCGAGTGCCTGCTTTCCTTACGCTACCTCACATTTATTACAACACAGAAAACGGCAGCTTTGTTTTTGGTCCTTTGTTTTACTGGCAGTCAATGGAGTTCTATCAACCCCACGGGGCGGTGCTACTGACTGAAGTGTCTTTTGGCCATTCCTAAAGGAGGGATATTTCTTGTTCTAATGCACAGTAGAATTGTAAATGGGCTGATCCAACAATGTCATGCTCATAAAAGTGCCTGAACTACAACAGGGAACTGCTGCTTTTTCTTTCCTAATCCTTACTGCCGTCATTTTGCTCTACTTCTTTTGTATGTTTGTCACACTCTTGTGACCGGCTATTTCTGGGGTGCCTTGATAGTCGAAGCAGACTTTGTGCTGTTGAAGCTAGAGAGGTGAACAGAGTAAGTCTGATTCCCTTTAAGGACTTCTCTGTTGACATCCACCCATTGGTGCTCATATAACCTTTTACAGTTGCGAGGGCCATAAAACCTCTACTTAAAAAAAAAAAAAGAGTTCTATGAGAATACGTGTTTAGTACTCAGATTTCTTTAGTTTGATTGTTGGTTTTGCTGCTTGATTTTTGAAGAACTTGTTACTTTGAGAGTTTTTCCGCCATCATACCAGACACGATATCGTTACTGTCATATACTTTTGATTAAACCAGTGTTGTTACTAGGTTAATGATTAGAATAACAATGATAATATAAAAAGAATTGTAAGTAGAAAAAAATAAAATAAAATAAATATAATAATATATATTATAAAGATAATAATAGTTATGAAAATAATGATAATAAGCATTTGTCTCAAACATTGAAAGAAGCTTTGTCTCTGTTGTTACTGTTCCTCCAATGATGCTGCGCTTTCAGGAAAAAAACCCCCAGTGTGTACATAGTTTACAAAGATTATTTTTTTTATCATCTAACAGTAGACTTGACTGCTACTACAGACTACTTGGACCAGGGAAGAATCTACGGATCAGATCCCTGAGCCATGACATTGAATGGGATGAAACATGTGATTATGATGTTCTCCAGATAAACCAAAGTGAGTCGCCGAAGTTTTGCAGAACTAGAATAGATGTATTTTGTAAACATTGTTGTCAACATTGTTGCAGATATGTTTTGATGAGAGTAATTTTGCTCGCTATAGATGTCTGCTTGTGAGTTCAGGGGGGTTGGATTATTGGTTTCATTTTATTCAAGTTACATTACTAACAATGTATTATATTTTTTTCTTTTTTTCAGCTCATTTAAATTAATTGGGGGAAAAATCTGTTTGAATTTGGTACCTGATGTTGAAAATTCTGTTATTGTAGATTTCTGCTCTAGTTGGAGTTGGATCAAGAGGTGGGTGTGCTGTCTTAGTTTTATAATTCTGGAAGGCTGATTTTTTTGTAATTTTTCAGAAGAAACTGCACTCTCTACTGACTTGAAAAATCTAATAAATGTAATCGCTATGTCGAAAAGACTGTACTTACCTTCCGAGTTATATACAAACACAAAAATACGAATGGATCAAATTGGTTTCCACGTGGCGCTGAGAGGTCTACACTGGCCGGGTCAGATCAGAATCGTTGGGCCCTGGGACGTCACTTCACCGGCAGCTTTGGACCGTCTGGTATCATTTAATACTCATAAGAGTGTGATGGGCCTGGATTTTCACGATTTTGAGCGTCAGAATTTATAAAATTGTATTTTTTTGCTATTTATCATTATCAGATACTCGTTATGAAATAGAATTTAGTAATTGTTTTTCAATTCAACTTTTTAAAAATGTGAGTGTCAATTGTTCAACAAAAGCTGCACGAAAAACAACAGACGGGAGGTTCCCCCCCAATTAAAAAAAATCTTTCTTTGGGGGAATGAGTAGCGTAGATTTATATTGATGGCGTGGCGTTCAGGTGGGTCCGGGATCCTAAACGCTGGCTTATTATGCAGGCAGTTAGTTTTTACATATTTGGGCTCAAGGCAGTGACCTATGACATGTAGATTTTCACATATGCATAGACACACACTCACACACACACACACACACACACACACGCGCACACATGCACACACACACACACACACACACACACACACACACGCGCGCGCGCATACACACACCCACACACACAAAGACACACACTCACACACACACACACACACACACACACACACACACACACACGCATGCACACACACACACACACACACATTTACATACACCAAATTGTACACTCATGTACTCAGAAAAGACCCCACATATTCACATTCATATATTATGCAGTTTTACACTTAAGTATACCACTCAACAGGTTCAAAGAGTGCAGCATTTTTTCCTTTTACTGGGTAGTTTTCCTCATGTCTAGAGAGCTGTGTATCATTCTATTTAAACTTTTCTTCTGTGCTTCTCTTCTAATTGCTGTGTTCCCCTCTCACCTTCTGTTTTCCAGGGTTATCTTTACTTGCTGTGATGACTGGGCAGCGTGCTTTACCACTTCCATTTTTATCTCTATTTTTGTCTCTGTAATGCTGTAAACCCCCTCCATCCCCTCCCTTCTCCTAACTTACAAAATATATTGATGTTGTGGGACACAGATGGGCCATCTCCCTTGAAGTCTACAGGAGAGGCTGAAAACCATGTTTTAATGCTTAAAATATCACTTACCTCTTTCATGAAAATTAGTATAAATGAACAGAAAAACGCTTGAAAAACCCCCTTGATTTTGCATCTTTATAGCAAAAGCATATTTGACCCTGCTGTACAATAAAGTTTAAAAAAAATCAGGTTTCTGTGCCCAACACCATGGATATAAAAAAAAACCTAAATAAGTAGTCTCAACTCATAATATTTTTTTGATTTTTATGATTATTTCAGGGAAATTCTGTGGTAGTGAAATCATCGATGTTCTCGAGACTGCACAAAGCACGGATACAAGTGTAACTTTCAGCACAGATGGTTCTTATGCTGGGGCGGGCTATGTTTTGGAGTATTTTAATGAACAAGACTGTAAGTCGAGCTCAGCTTTTTGTTAAATCAGTTGTTGATGGTCTTTTGTTCTTGTGGCGTCCTTTAGGGCTGGGATTATACGGGTAACTTGATATGCGGGTAATAGTAATGAAAAAAATACCTGAGTACCCGTTGGGTACCCGAGCTCTGCCTGCTTGTGATTTCATTTGCATGTTTTCCCCTCAAATGCTGTAAGAGGCTTGGAGTTGAAGAGCCATCAACTTTTATTATGCTTTTGCAGATGTTGCTGGAGGCCCTTTTTTCGTCTTTAATTTTCTCAAAGTAATCCCAAGCGTATGACTTTCTTAGAGACATCTTGATAGAAACTGTGCTAAAATGACAAAGCAAAAGCTATTTAAACTATTTTACTTCACATAATTTTTAGAAATTTTCCACTTCTCTGTTGGATTCTTAGAACTGCACACAAGTTGTTTCCGTATATAAGGACACTGAAATTAAAACTATAGGACTAGCCCTACTGATTGATTCTTGGAAACATTCTTATAACATGCCCAAATGTGGCGTTTTTTGTGGTCTGCTGGTTTCCAGGGAAAAGAGGTACGAGTAATGGTGGCACTAGTCAATATTGGCCAATACCGAGTACTGTATCGACTTACAGAGCTCAGTATCGATAAGTACTCAGTACTTAATGAGGTTCGAACGAAGGGACGTAATTTAAGTGCATTTGCATAGCATTAAAACGAAGGGGAGTAGAAAACCCGGGTACCCGACACCAATACCCGGGTAGCCAATTTTGAGCTCTTTACCCGTGTAACTACCCAGGTACTCGCTGCACTTGCAAAATGTCACATCTCATCTTTGCTACTTTTGAGATAAATGGAAAAAAACTGTTTAACTAGACTATTTATCTTCTAATACTGGTAAAACTTGCCATGTATGTTTCTTCTGTGACTCCCTGCACATTTTTGTTTTGGTTTTACCTAAAGATAGATATAGTAGGCCCTACCTCCAAACAAAATTGTGTTGCATTTGTGAGGCATCGTGGTGAAATTAGGTTCTCGTCAAAATAATGAAATCGAAAATATAGGAATTTTTCTGTTGGTTTGTCAATTTTTGTCAAATGTTTGTTTTTTTAGCAGAACACCATTTATGTTTATTTAAAAAAAGTTTATATGTGGATTTTACAGAAAAACATTGACAAAAAGCACAAAAAATGCAAATATTCAGTTTCCAACGACTCTCAAGCTTTGAAAATCACCAATCCTTCGCGGCCATTTTCTCGCTAATTTTACATTTGAAACAAGGCAACCCCTACTCCTTCATTTGCAAATATCTCGACTCCTATTCAAGATAGATTTGTACTTTTTTCATCGAAAGACAGGCAAATGAATGAATTTTTAGATGATAACAATAACTCCACATACCCAAAAATTGATGAGTGACTGATTCCACTGTGTTTTCCTGCTTTACAGTATCAGTTGTGTGTGATGGGGACACGTCACTGAATCCGATCGATTTACAAGGTGGTGAGAACTCGCACTTCATTGAGTTGAAAATCAAGCAAACAGGCAGAAGGTAATATTTTTTGCTTTTTGTTGTTGTTGTTGCTATCAATTCTGTGACAGCTGGGCTTTTGCCCTTCTGCTCAATGCTGTGTTGTGATAAGCACATGTTTGCTACAGTTGCTGTAATGTTCCACAGAGTGTGTTGTCAGTGTTAGGTCTCTGAGGGAAAAGTATAGCACTGGTATCATTTAGGGCTGTGCAGTGGAACTGGTGATTTTCCTCAGTTTCATATGCCTAGTCACACCCAGGACAAGTTGGTGGAAGTTCTGGTATTTGAGACGGAAAATTTACTTTCTGTTTGTTCCATCTTTTTAAACAAACAATTTTGCTATCCAATTGTTTGGCTTCTTAAATTTTCAGTCAGCTCCTGTTGAGCATATTTGCATGTGATATACACCAAACTGAGTAGAAATGAATGACCTCATGCAATGTACATATAAAGTCTAATTTTAGATAATAAGAATTGCCTGGGGTTTGGTAGGATTTTGTCCTGGCTATTTTAAACAACTGAGCGATACTGTATATGCCTTTTAAACTAGCATGCGGGACAAAAGATAACGACAGCATGTCAGCTGTACTAGTGTGGCACATACTTTGAGTTAATGAAAGTTTTGCTTCAGGGGGTGGTGACCTACATTTGATTTTATCAGATTCTGGACATTTTCTTCATGATAGAAATTCATGGCTTGGCTATGTGATAATCATAGAATGAAGCCATATTATTTTTTGTTATATAGGCCTATGTAGAAGCCTTTGCAGTAAGTTGCACTGGCTAAAGACTACATTCCTCTGTTTTTCTTTTCTTTTCCATTGTTTGAAAAGCAGTTGAAATCACATCTTTTTGATGAGGCATATATTTAGTTTTCTTATCATCTTGTAACTCTCTTTGGGTACATGGACAAACCCAACCCCAAAGGCCCTTCGAATCTTTTATTTAGAGCCGATCAGACATTGATCTTCAGAGCCCGCACAGGACACTTACACACCAACAAGCACATAAACAGAATCAAACCCATGTGGGAACCCCATTGCAGACACTGTGACTACCATGAGGAGACTGTTGAACATCTTCTCCTTCACTGCCCAAACCTGGCAGTTCTTCGACGCAAGCTCCTACACACACCTACAGACTTACAAAGCCTGCTTTACTCTGGCGTTGACCAGATGACAAGGACATGTGGTTACTTGAGGGAGGCATTGCGCTGCCAAGAGCGAAATGCTCACAGCTAAAGGGATTTGAAAACAACAACAACAAAAACATCATCTTGTAATGTTGGTAGAACTGTAAAGTGTGTGTGGGGTTTGTGGGGGGGGGGGGGGGGGTATGTGTGTGTATATTAAAATCGAATGTCAACTTCTGTGGGTGGGTCGTTGGCAGGTGCACTAGTGTGGTTTGCTCCTTCTTTTCTAACATATATCATCCTTATCTCTTTTCCTCCTTTTTTGTGTTTGTTACTCTCTTGTAACACCTCTAACCATCAACACTTATATGACCTTAGTGTGCTGCAAGTGCTGTAAAACGCTTACTAAAACTAAAACTCAACTTCTGTGTGTTTTTCACTGCAGATGGCAACACTTCATGGCAGTTTACAGGTTGCCCTCGACCGTTTTCCTACCTGCGAACGTCTAGGAGAACCTTCAAGATAATGGTGACCGCGACAGGCATTTGGAGAGATTATGACATCAGATTTTCTGTCAGACCACTTGTCAAAGGTACATTGTTTATGTAAGGTAAAAAAAAAAGTGGCTTACTTCCTGTCTTTTGATGGGACTCTTTTGTGTGTTTTGTTTGGGTTGAATTTCTGGAAACCAAAGATACATATGATTCTGTTTCTCTTGGCCATTGTCACCCTTCACTTGTAGTTTTACTGATAGCATAGCTCTAGCAATTTTTCATCATCAATATTGTCATCAAATCTTATTGAATAGGTCCTTTTCGTGATTGCTTAACTTTACTTGTAAAACTGTTTTGTTAACCAACTCCTGTCGAAATTTTGAAAGATGTTGTGTCTCAAAGAAATATTAGTTTTTCTGTAATGACTTGTTTTTGTTCTATGATTAAAAGAATCTAAAACGAGTAATAATAATTACATGTACTAAATTAGAAATCGAGAGAAGCTCTGAGAGTATGTTATAGAAAAAGATTCAAAGAATTGGAAAAGAATATTGGTGTTGTACAGACAGAACTGATTCTACTGAATTGTGAGTCCTTCTGTCATCACCTTAAGCTTCAATGATTTATTTATAGAGGCACTAGCTGTAACTATATATGTTTAGGGGCTATTTAAGCTGAAAACTTCTCTCTTGGAATGTGTTATTCTTGATGTTTGGAGAGATTTATGGAAAACTGAGCTGAGAGCTTAGACAAGGGGTTTACAGGCATCTGTGGTGTAAAGGATAGGTTCCATCCTGTCACAGAAGATGTGAGTTTGTAGTGAAGTTTTTTTTATCCCTAGTATTCTCATGTCTACTGGGGTACTGTACCCTACTCAGCCTGGGTTGACCTTGACAGGCTGGGTCAAAGCAGCCCATCCCTTAAATATTGTAAATTATGTTGACTGAGGCGTAGCACATTTGAGGATACTTTTGAAATTACAAGTTAATATGATACTCCCAGGGGTGGTTGGTAGGGACTGTGGTGTGGTCTGCTCCTTCCTCTTTATAGCAATACTGTTATCTTAATCTGTTTCCGGCAAATTGTGGCTGCTATTTCACTGACTCGCCTTATATAACTTTGTCACCTGTACTAAAGAGTAAAAGAAACTCAAATCTTACCAATACTTTAACATAATTTTGAGCATGTGATAAATCCTTTTATTGAGCCTGATTTTCTATGTATTTGACACAAGCTAAAAAATGAGTGTGGACCATGTTTGAATTGAAATTAGGTCCTGACATATTTTTCTGCATGAAATATTAAAGTTGTGCTCAAAATTTCAACATATAGCTTTACTTTGATGGTACCCTAGTGATGTGCCTTTTGTACTTATTGTATTGTAAGGTTAGAATAGGTATATATAATATTCTTTTTTTTCCTCTTTCAGATATTTTGCCTTCGTCTTTCTTTGCGACGACCACAACGTCATTTGTTTGGATTGACCCACAGATGATAAGGTAAAGTGAATGAATGATCATGTTGGAAGTGGACCATACCTTAGATGTATTATAAGAATTAACTATTGAAGCTGTGCAAGAGGCCCAAAAGTTTGAGAAATAAAAAAAAAAAAATTGTGTGTATTATATCATACAACGAGATCATTCATCAGTCTGTTCTATTGCACTTGACCTCGCAATTCTCAGGCCTCACCTTAGAGTCAGAGGGAAGTGTGCACGTGTCGAGTTTTGTGTCCCTGCACTGACACCATACCTTGGGTTCTCACCTAGAGGTAACTTCCTCCATCTCAGGGACAAACACTTCTCAATATTGTAGTCTAAAGACAAACAATGTCTGCGTGGCAGCTTTTATATGGTAGGTGCACTGGCATGTTTCTTTGCCCTGGGTACAATAGCCCCTGGTAAAAAACATTGAAAGGGGGAGGGAGGGGTGTTGGCGGCTAAGAGCTATCTTGCTTATTTGTGGACTAAATTTCACACACATAACAAGTATAGTGTGGATTCTTTTAGTACAAAATTAAATTTTAGAAATGAAAAGTTCGTTACTATGGAGATGGTGGCCATATTAGATTTTGTTGATTTGTTTTGTACAGTTAACATCTCAATTACTTTAAATGAAAATAGTTTATTATTTTGCATGCACATTAAGGAACAATAGCTCTTCAATATTATATGTTAATTTTTCCAGAATTAATTAAAAACTTTAATACAGTTTTTTACTTGAGGAAATTTTCAAGGCTTCAAATATTAGTGAAAGTTCACTTTCTCTCGAGACACCACCAACAAAAATCTATTCCGTGTGTTGTAAATTCAACACACAATTTTTCAGTGTTATTCATGCGGATTAGATGAAATATAGCTGAGTTATACTCCCCCCAACCAGCATTTGAGAAAGCAGATTTTAAAGGAAAAAAAGAGGGACTTTAGTGGGATAATGGTGACTAAAATGCCTGATATGTGAAAAAATAAAGGTTTAAGGGTTCTTATGCGATGAAATAGTTGTAAGAGAGGCTGAAGAAGCAGTGCTTCCAATTTTCTACATTCCCGCCATTTTTTAGTTTCC